GTGATGGTGCTAAAAAGGAAAAGGTCCAGATCGGTGAGGTTTTGCTTTTCCAAAAAGATAACAGCATTTTAAAAAAGCAGAAACCAGCGAAGCATTGATTCTTTTTAGCACAATGGGAGCTGCAGACTGAAAGACATTTTCAAAAAAAGATTAAGCTAAAATGTCAAAAGAGCAAGCCGAGGCTTTCATTGAATTTACCAGTCTGATTAATTCAGGTAAAGTACACGCTGCAGATCTGTCTCCGATAAATGGGCTGGGATGGAGTTTCAGCAGACAGAGAAGAAACCGATGGAGAAAAAGCTGGACTGGAAAGAACAGAAAGTTTTCACAGTAACAATGGGAGTGATTTGGAGCTATAGCTGGGGAGGCGGCATTGCGAAAGGTTTTTAAACTGCACCTTTGCTCTTAGAGAGCAAGTTATGAAATATGCAGCCTCTGCATCTCCAACTGCAGGATAAAGAAAAGGGTTCGGAGATCCTTTAAATCGAGCAGATGAACAGGTGAAATTGTTTTATTCAGCAATTTAATCAAAGCGATTGACAGGTTTGACCTCCGCCCCTCGCAGTGATGCAGGACTAATCTTCTGACTCCAACTTCTGCAGCAGCTTTGTAAAAAAAATCATCCAGCGAGTCCGGTGTGATTCATATAACTGCAGCTGCACACAAAGCTAACATGGAATGCTGCACAGTGCAGACAAACGACAGCACGTGTGAACTGGTCACAGCTGGAGATGGATCAGAACCAGAGCCTTAGCAACAGGCGGAACCCCTGCAGGAAACCAGCGGATGCATCAGCTGCCGCCTGACCTGATTCTGAATCAGTTTCTGATCCCTCTGCTTCAGATAGAACAGCACCTTGCATGCAATCATCCTTTTTCTTCATAGTTGGCTGAACAGTAAAGCAGTCCATCAGGTGGACTGGGTAACTCGTGACAAAACTCTAAAAGATATTTGATATGAAGGAGAGGATAAAAAACTAAAGTCTGCAAAGGTTAAAACATAAAAAAACATATTCTGCACCTCTTCTGTCAATCTTTGTTTGATAACAACCTTAAATTAGGCAGAATTTGAGGTTCCAACGTTTAAAAATCTCTAATTCAGGACATGTTTAAGCCAATTTAGTTATAAAAGGCTGCAGATCGGCTGATGAAAACAATGCAAGAGACTAAAAGGTAGAGGAGCTGAAACCCTTCAGGGGCAACATTGGGAAACCAGTTTTACTGCATCATGCACAGATAGGTCCATGAAAGGTTGCCCTGCAACAAAAGCGACACTTGAAAGCAGCTAGAGCTGCAGAGATGGGTGATCCACATGAAGAAAGCTTTGGGTCAGATGAGACTGAGCTGCTTAGATAAAGTCACAAGATTCAGAAGGAAACCTTCAACCCTACACTGGAAAAACGATCTAGAAATAAGTAAAAATGTCTTAAATTAAGTGTATTTACCCTTAATTTGAGTAGGCAAATTAGATAGTTTGCCAATGGAATGAGTATTTGACTCTTAAAATAAGACATTTAGATAAAATGCACTTGAAATAAAGTGATGCAATTGTGTTTTCTTATTTTGACTGCAAATTGTCTTGTTCCACTGGCAAAATGTCTCTTTTACCTTCTCAATTAAAGGACAAATGCACTTATTTTAAAAAAAAAAAGGACTTATCTAGATATAGATTTTTTTTACAGTGTATACTAGCTGTCTGGCATGGTGGTGGAAGTATGATGCTGCGGGACTGTTTCACACCAGTGTAACTGGGAATTTTCTAACAAGCAGATGGAGAAAAGACCCTGAACACCAACAGACTTTCACACCAAACCATAATTAAACCATATTTACCAATTCAGCCATTAAGAGGAGCCAAATATTCTGACAGAAAAATACCACAAGCTTTGCAGTGGCTCTATAAATATGAGCAATATAGTGATAAAAGGGGGGTACATCATCGGTATATTTATATATTCCTTATTGTATATTTAGAATAAGGAAAAAACTGGTTCTAGTTTTTAAAATTAAAAGTACAAAACTTAATCTTGAGCTGCAATTATTGTCTTGCTCTCATATTTCTGAACGTATTTCTAAAATTAAGTGTATTTACCCTTAATTTCAGTAGGTAAATAAGACGATTTGCCAATGGAATGAGTATATTTACTCCTAAAGTACCGTAAGATAATTGGATATTATGCACTTAAAATAGGACACTGCAATAGTTTTTTCTTGTTTTAAATATAAATTATCGGTTCTATTGGCAAAGTGTCTCACTTACCTGCTCAATTCAAGCAAAAAAACTTATTTTAAGCAAAAATTACTTAATTAGATTACATTTTTTTTGCAGTGTGAAGCCTCTGCATCATTTTTCCTTAGAAAATATGTGAACATTTAGAACCTAAAGATTTCAGCCCTGCAGTTAGACTTATAAGGGGGGAAATGTTCGGACTAACTGTGGCTTTAGATGATTTTCTTTATCAAATTTAAGAACATTATTAGTTTTTTATTCATTCGTTTAATTTCCAGCAGAAACAAACTTGTTTCTTGGGTCGGCCGGTCTCACCTGTCCGCGCTGAGAGCCGTGAGCGTAAAGACCGACACCCCGACAGAGGTGAGCTGAATAACGGGGATGAGTTTGCAGGCCGCCTCGCCAAACACCCACTCCTCAGAGAAGAACCGGAACGCGTCCACGGGCACACAGGTGACCAGCAGGAGCAGATCTCCCGCAGCCAGGCTGGAGATGAAAATGTTCGGCACGCTGCGCATGGCGCTGTTGGTGATAAAGATCTTCACCAGGGTGATGTTGCCCAACAGACCCACGGTGATGATGAGGATGTAGGCAGAGGTCATGACGCAGCGCAGCACGAAGTGCGCCGTCTCCCCGCCGTCTGAGGACCCCCACCAGCCGGGCTCCAGGGTGGAGTTGGGGGTCAAAGCCTCGGGGTCTCCGGGAGGAGTCGGAGAAAGGTTGGAGAGGAACTCGTCATCCATGATTAGGAGGAGAAAAGTGCTCCAGCTGCAGGAGCTGCTGTGCGTAAAAACGGCGCGGCGGTTGTTCTGGATCAGTCTGAGAGCGAAGAGAAAAGTTTGGAACAAGAGTTGATGTGAGGGGCTGCGGGTCTGAGGCGCGGAGTGAGCGGAGCTGGAGAGCAGAGCGCGTAAAGAGGAGCAGCAGGAGGAGGAGGAGCAGCAGGGGGACGCACCTGTTGGAGAGCAGCCTCCCTCTCTGCTTCATTCAGACAGAAACTACAGGAGATTCACAGCTTCATCAATAGATTATCTCTTAAAATGCTCTAACATTCATTCAATACAAAACTCACATTATATAATATATTATAAACATTAAACACATCTGATATATTAATGTAAATATTACATAAAAAAGGGCTTTGTAAAGAAATATTGGTCAACAGAGAGTAATGGACATCCACCACATGGAAGGTACAACAAAAAGACATTAACATGGTAGCTGCTAACATTTACAGAGGATTATGGCCACTGG